AGAAAGCAAAATAACCCCCCACCGGGAAAGCAAATAAAAACTATCCCGAATATCGAAGATAGTGTAGGAGCCTTGGGACAGCTCAAGCCGTCCAAACATCAGAATTATAGGGTGCAGAAGATGAGAGACCAGCAAGATATGAAAACCTATTTGAAGAAATAATGACAGGAAACTTCCTCTACCTGGTGAAAGAAATAGACTTACAAGTCCAGGAAGCGCAGAGAACCCCAAACAAAAGGAATCCAAAGAGGAACACACCAAAGACACATCATAATTAAAATGCCAAGAGCAAAAGACAAAGAGAGAATCTTAAAAGCAGCAAGAGAAAGAAAGTCAATTACCTACAAGGGAATACCCCATACGACTGCCAGCTGATTTCTCAACAGAAACTTTGCAGGCCAGAAGGGAATGGCAAGAAATATTCAAAGTGATGAATACCAAGAACCTACAACCAAGATTACTTTATCCAGCAAAGCTATCATTCAGAATTGAAGGTCAGATAAAGAGCTTTACAGATAAGGAAAAGCTAAAGGAGTTCATCACCACCAAACCAGTATTATACAAAATGCTGAAAGGTATCCTTTAAGAAGAGGAAGAAGAAGAAAAAGGTAAAGATACAAATTATGAACAACAAACATGCATCTATCAACAAGTGAATCTAAGAATCAAGTGAATAAATAATCTGATGTACAGAATGAACTGGTGATTATAATAGAATCAGGGACATAGAAAGGGAATGGACTGACTATTCTTGGGGGGGAAAGGGGTGTGGGAGATGCGGGAAGAGATTGGACAAAAATCGTACACCTATAGATGAGGACAGTGGGTGGGGAGTGAGGGCGGAGGGTGGGGCGGGAACTGAGAGGAGGGGAGTTATGGGGGGAAAAAAGAGGAACAAATGTAATAATCTGAACAATAAAGATTTAATTTAAAAAAAAGAAAACTCACAAAGTATATAAAGTTAGGTACAAGTAAGATATTAGTAAAAAATGACTTAAAGAGTAAATAACTCTAAAGCCAGTCATAAATTATATGAAATGTATTAACAATAAAAGAAATCTGGAGGATCAATGTGCTCATTTGATTATCATCTCAAACAAACTGCTCAGAAAGGATAAAGGACAGTGGAAGTACTCACTTCCTTGTTTCATTCTCACTTGTTTTGGAGAAGTTTCCTACTTTAAAACTGTCTTTTAATACAATTAGGTCAAAGATATTTATACCACAATAATTGATGTCATTGACCACTACAGTATATTATATATACTTTGAAGTGTTTTATTTCCTCCACATATGGGAATTTTGAACTGTGTTCCCCACTTTTCCTATTTCTTGTATAATTGGTATGTATTTCCCTTGTGAGGTTAGGGATATAGTCTTAAGCCTTGGAATAAAGTAAGTAGTAGTACCTGGACAAGATTCCCTGCATCTAATGGGCAAATGAAAAAAAATAAATAACACTAACCATTCTGTTTGGTAAGACGGCTGAATATGAAACATGATCACTGTGCCAGAGGATAAATAGATTGCCTGAGAATTAAGTTGTATTAAGTACACTAGTGATCGAGCGCATGAAATCTCGTGAGACCCACACCTGCAGGAAATCACGCAAGACCCAGGACCCCAGACCCCACTGAGCCACGGGACTCCCCTCCCACCCCCGCCCAGTCCGGCTGCACTGTGAGACCCAGAGTCAAGTCCCCACCCACCTGTGTGCGCCTCGCCACGCATGCAGCCTCCTGGTACCAGTCTTTGGTTGTTACAGCGTTAGGCCACTGGGTTTTTATAATATAGACTAGAGGCCTGGTGCACGAAATTCGTGCACTGGGGGATGGGGTTCCCTCAGTCCGGGAGC